TGAAGTTACAGCTAGGTGTGACTTACCTGATGTTGGAACTTGGAACTCGAGTCCTTTGAATGAGCATCAAGCACTTCTAACCTCTCACCGTCTCTCCAGTCTTTCCCTGCTGAAAGCCACTGAGGCAGCCTATCTCAAATCTCAGCATCCCTGAGTGTGTGTGAGATTGTCTCTACAGGCCCAGTTCCATACAACCCGTCTTATGTTAGATTTCCTCCATCATTAATGATAAATCTATCATAGATGTCTTTTATGTTTTTAGGTTGCATTTGTGGTTTGTATGTATGCATGCCATAGTGTATGTGGCAAGGCCAGAGGATGTTTTGCAGGAGTTGGTTCTCTCCTTCCACCATGTACATCCTGGGGATCAGGCGTATGTCATTGGACTTGGTGGCAAGCACCTTTGCATGCTAAGCCACTTCTGCATCTCCCACGTGTTTTTTTTTTAAACTTGTGTAGGTTTTAACTCTAAGTGAATTATTCACATTTGTTTATATCTGTATGTCAAATACTAATACCTACTGGAAAAGTGATGGTTTCATTTGGAAATTGAATTGTCATTTGGAACTGTGGGTTGGCAGTCATACTGGGTCAGTGAAAGAACTTGGCCATGTTCGCTGGCCATACTTGGCCTCATTTTTGCCATGTGTTTGCCAGATGCAGAAGCCTATTCATTACCAGAGGGCATGGAATCGTGGAGGAAAGGCTTGGAACTTGTACCGTTGAACACACTGCATGTCTCTCCTCTGATATTTTGGCTAGAGAAATTTCCTTGTAGGTGTCAGGATAGGAATGAGAGAATGAAGCCTCCCTTTGACCTCTTTGGGGCACAGAAGGAGTGTGAGTGAGGGTGTGTAAATGTGTTTGTGTATATGCATATGTATTTGTGTGTGCACATGTGAAGGCCAGGGTTCACCTGAACTTTCCTTTCTTTGTTCTCCACTTTGTATTTTCAAGATGAGGTCTGACTGAACTTAGAGTTCATCACCTCAGTTAGGCTGACTGGCCAGAAGGTGCCACAGATCTGCCTTTGTCTCCATCCCTTCTTTTCCTCAGTCCTGGAGTTATAGGCATATGCTGCTGTAGCTGAGCTTTATGTATGTGTTGGGGGATCTGAATGCAGGTTCTCTTGCTTGTACAGAAGGCATTTTACCACCTGAGCCATCTCCCTAGCCCCACAGAATTTTATAGAATGCCTCCTTAAAGCACACTGGAGAACATGGCTGCAAACAAAGGAAGATTAAAAATGTGATTTCTACTGTGAAACACAGTTTTGAGTGTGAACAGCTGAACCAATGAGTTGGATAACACACACACACGCAGTCTTTGTTAAGGGCTTTGTTGAATGTCCCAGGTAAGTTATTACTCAAAATGGAGAACCATGGAAGTGTCTGTATTTGTATTAAGATAGACTCATATGCAAAGGGTTCCAGAATTTTTGACAAATCAATCACATAGTTAAGGGTCATATATTTATAGCTGATCCAAACCCCAAGATGAATAGAAATGTCAAAATCTTGAGCATATTGGATATTTACACATGAATAAGCAAGATGGCAGACATTGTTTTCAAGTAGACTTTTTATTTTTTTAGCATTTGCATGTTTTTGGTTCAGCTTGTAATTTCCATATAACATTTTTTTCATGTTTACATTAGCATGTAATTAGCATATATATAATTCCATGGTGGGTGATATAAATGCCTATGCTCCCCAAGAGGAAAAATGTCTGTGGGTTTTTATTTCCTTTACTAAAATATTTCTAAACTATGTTGGTATTGGGGGAATAATTGTATATTTCTTTTTAATTAGAATTAATAGTTTAAGTGATGCAGCAGCCTATGAAGTTCGACTTCCAAATTAAAGAACTTCATGTTTCAGGAAAGGTATTTAGTTTCGGAATTTGTAGGGATAGACTTGAAATATTAATGTTAATTTCCCCTTTACAACATTTGGTATTTTAAGTACTGTAGTTACTCTTCAGCTAGAGTCTTGTATTTGAGAAAAATATTTTAATGAAGTTTACCAATTTTATTTTTTAATGCTGTGTTTATAGGAGTGTGTGTGTGTGTGTGTGTGTGTGTGTGTGTGTGTTGAATAAGAAAGAGAAATATCATTTCAGTAGATATCTCACCTTTGACCTGATACGGTGAAGATAATAAATGAAGGTGTGTGTGTGTGTGTGTATGTGTGTGTATTTTTTTGATGGCCTTTAGAGCATATATACCACATGGCCTTTGCAATTCATTTTTGGAGATTTCATTTTAGTGGATCATTAATGCTATAAATTAATTCTGAGCAAGGAACACATGGTCTCTTCCCCCACCCCAATTGTTTTATTAAATATTGAACAGGTTGGACTGGCATGGCTTGTTGTAACAGAATATTTGAAGTATAAATATTAGTTGAACAATGAGAGCATTGAAAGAGAAAGTGTACTGTGATGGGTACAGTGTCTCTTGCTTCATCTTCATGTGTGGATATGCATTTGAGTACACTCAGGTCATTCACAATAAGAACAGCAATTCACAGACATTGTCAGGGAACTTGTATATTGCCGGTGAGAAGAACTCTGAAGGAACAATGCAAATTGTTGAGTTTTAATTTTGTTGTTACCTCTGAGGAGTTGTTTTTAACTGTGAAAGTCATTTATCAACCTTGAGCCTCTCCTCTTTTCATGTTTCAAATTAATTAATCTCTGCCATATAATTGTTAGTCTCCAGAGCAGTGGTTCTCAATGTATAGTTTGCAGCACCTTTAGCAAGTATCTGTCTCAAAATATTTAGATTATGATTCACAACAGTAGCAAAATTATAGTTAAAAAGCAGCAATGAAAATAATTTTATGGTTGGGGATCACCCCACAACACCAGGAATTGTATTAAAGTTTTGCAGCATTAAGAAGGTTGAGAAACATTGATCGAGAGTAATATTTCCTCCTTTATTCTAGAAGCTCTCGATACCTTCCGTAGTCCTATAATGTCTGCCTAATGTAAGGTTAGATTTGAAATATTTCATAATGGTTTTAATTTTTTTCTTCGATTTTTGCTGTGTCTAGCTGCACCCTTGGGATGGACGAACCAGCCTTGGTGGCTTGAAGAATAGGAAATAGAATAGGTACAATCTACATTCTCAAAGGAGTGCATTCTTGCTCGTGGCTGAGAAGTTCTTCTAAAAGCATCCGATTTAGGATCCTAGTACCCATCTCATGTGACTCGTGAGTACCTATAACTCCAGCTCCAGGAAGTCTGATGTCTTCATCTGGATTCTGTGGGTAGTACTCACTTCAGGAATGTGCACATACATACAAACACATGCATGCATGCATGCACATACAGACTTAAATAAACTCCCTCCAAAGGCAGGGCTAATTAGAGGCTGGAGAGGTAGCTTAGTGGTTCAAAGTACTTGATGTTCTTCCAAAGGACCCTGCACTCACATGGTAGCTCATAGCCATCTATAAGTTCCATGGGATATGAAACCTTCTTCTAGCCTTCAGAGGCTCTAAGTGTGCATGTGCTGCACAAATATATATATATATATATATATATATATATATATATATATATATATATGCAGGTAAAACACCCGTACACATAAAAATGTAAAACCAACAGATAAACTGGAGAAGAAAGCCCTAGCAGCCTATAAATTGTGGACCTTTGGGGAGCACTCCAAATACAAACTAGGGTGAAGGTTGAAAAGAAGACCCAAGCTGGGGAGACCGTCCCTTCTTTGCACTGTGGAATGTTATAGAAATACTTTTAATGGTTCTCTAAAGTACCTGGTATAGGCTACAGTGGCCAAAACGGGACTATTAAGAAAAGCCCTCTCTCTGAATATATAATATGGCTGTTAGGTTGGTGGTTTTGTGGGAGCGGGTATGTCTCTGATTCTTTTGCCTACTTTTGAGACTGTTTTCCTCCTGTTGGGTTGTCTCATGCAGCCCCTATAGGATTGGTTGTTGTCTCCTTGAAGCCTGCTCCTCTCTGAAGGAAAGTGGAGAGGGAGTGAGTCTGGGGGAGAGGGGAGGTGGGGTGGGAGATAGAAGGAGTAAAATGGTGGTTGGACTATATTGTATGAGAGAAGAACCTATTTTCAATTTAAAAAAATGAAAGGAAGAAAGAAAACTCACTCTCTTCACTCCTCCCAAGTTGGTTCATGTCTCAGAGTCAGCCCAGATGTGCCGTTAGACTGAAAGATGATCAGATGAGTATATATGGAAGACCTGCACATACTCTATTTTGGATCTTCCTAGCAAAAGCATCAGGAATCTGAGGCAGAGTCTACAAGGTACCACTCTCAAACTGAAGCCTTCTTATTGTTCCCTAAAAGCTGAGGTGGGGAGTGTAGTCAGCTGAAAGGGATGAGCAGAAACAGTTTTCCTGTTCCTCTGCTGAGAGGACCATTGTAGCTACCATCTAAACATGTGTAGTGAAGGCACAGGCCACTGTCAAAGGCAGGATGAGCTGTGTCTTTTTCCAACTGCAGCTGCCCACCCAGGATGGGCAGTGATGGGAACAGATGCTTTGCTCTTCATCACAGTGCTGCATACACTTCCTCTTGAGATGGTGCCAGGAGCACATCAGGAGGCAGGAGCAGGGAGAGAATGGCCTCTAAACCAAAAGCACCCCCTGCCACTGACTTCAGGTTTACTACTCTCTGTTGCACCTGAGTTAGAAGAAGCAAGCGTACAGTTTTTACTTCCTTTTATATGTTTACCACCACGTGAGAATGAAGAGCTTTGAGCAACGTGAAGTCAATTATGTGATGGGAAAAAAAAAACAATAAAAAAATACTTCTTGCACATCTGTGTTATAATGAGGACGTTTCAAACCAACCACACTAGTCTGGCTTCCTGTTTGTTTATAACTTACATATGTATAGTGTTCTCATTTATAATTTATGTATTTGTAACATTTTATGGTACATACTGCTCACTGTAGCCTCTCTTCTCTCCTTACAGAAGAGTAACATCAAAACCATTATGTTTGTATTTCAGGTAAACCAGGGAAGCCCTGTCTGGGCTGCAGCAGATAGCTGAGGAGAAAATGAAGAAAGAACATCCCAGAGCTCAGAGCTTCCTCCCATGCTCAGGAATTGTCACCAATGCCATTACATCGGCCTCCTTTTGTATGCCTCTGGAAACCACATGTGTCCCCTGTTTGTAACGGTTTGGCTATGCTTGCTAGCTCCTCTTGGACATTGTTTTCAGAACTTAAAGAAACATTGTTTTAAAGGTTTATTAGGAGGTATTTAAGATATCCTGCATATCAGATACTTACATTACATTTCGTAATAGTGGAAAAATACAGTTATGAAGTATCAATGAGATAATTTTATGTTTGGGGGGGTCACCACAACATGAGGAATTGTATTAAAGGGTTGTAACATTAGGAAGGGAAAGTTGAGAACCACTGTACTAGATTGTGTTGAAGTGTATGTGAGAAATCAACTGTTCATTGAATTGTATATTATTTCTTGACTTTGAATTCTGATCCACTAGTATATAATTGTATATTAATTATCCAGATAAATTATATAATATATAAAATATTATTTATACTATTAGGACGTATTTAAAATAAAACTATCCTCTTCTCATTTAGTATGCAATTGATTCTTCCAATTTCCTCAGTAAAAACTCATTGATCAGTTTTACTCTTTGAGAGATCCAGATGTGTATATAGCGTATTGGGGTTATTCTCGCCCTCCCCCACACTCTCTTATCTCCCTTCCAGCTTTGACACCCTCGATCCTCCCAATGGGCCTATTCACACTCTCAGATCTTTTTGTTTTATGAACCATTGGTTTTAACCCGGGCCATCTGTGTTACCATGGTTTTAGGATTATCTACTGGAACAGGTTGGCTAAAAATAGATAATGACTTTCCTTCCCCCCAAATCCATCATAGCTAGGAGTTCAGCCCTTCAGCCCCCTCCCCAGTCCATAACTGATGTTAGAAAACTCAGTTTTTTGCAGACCCAGTGCAGGTACCCACAGCTACTGTGAGATCACACCCTGATGCATGTAGCCCTTTACCCTGTCTTCCATTGCCACTTCTACTGTGTTCCCTGAGCCCTAGATGGGGTAGTATGAATGTCCTGACAACCCGACCAGGTGGTAGTAGATGTGTTCACTTAGACAAAACAAAGACAATGACCAATAGGAAACGTATTGTAATCCCTGCAAGTGCTACAGAAAATGTAGAGAATAACAAAAATCAAACAGTGCTGTATAAATTCAAGGTCAGTGCTCTATGTCAATGTCAGTAGCATATCACGTCCAAAGGATTTGTATCACTGTTAAGTTAGAAATGATCTGCTCTTGCTTGTTGTGTAGTGCATTTGTCCAGATAGCCAATAATATGGGAAAAAATCAGAGTATAAAGAGTATAAAGTGAATGTGCTCTGTAAAACAATTGCAAACCTTTTATGGATATCAGTACACAGCAAGACAATAGAGACTATCTCATCTCTGGCTACTTATTCAGCTATAACATTGTAGGGGTGGCTTGTAGTTTTGACTTGGAACCTTTTTGAAGAGCTGAGAAGTGTGCCTTTGCCACTATATCAGATCCAACTATGGAAAATTAGCAATCAATACATGCCTGTAATTGAGATCTTAGAGAGATGGATGTTGTTATAATTAGGAAATAGTCTGTAATATTATGTTAACAGATTTCCCTTTTTGTATGTTTGCATAACTACATGTTACCTTTCAATGTAAGGTTTTATTCACATTATTAAGTCTAATTGAGTTAAGATACCAGACAGGGTAGTGGAAACAGATCTTCTAGATTGTCTTAAATAGCATTTTCTATTGCTGGTGTGTTCTGTAATTAGCCAGCATTGTAGATAACTCAATATGTGTGTTCTGAGTGGTGCATCAGAACGTTTCTCTATCTTGTTTAGTATTATTTTTCCCTTTCATGCTACATTGGCCCATACAAAATCCTGACCTGTCATACAATTTACTATCTAAGAGATTTCCTTTAGGGTACTGAGAATCGATTGGTCTTTTATAAAATATTTATTTTAAAAAACAGACTAAACAATGAATAGACTACTGTGGCTTTGCATCTTAATTGTTCTGCAGTTCTTTCTATGTCTGTATGATTGGGGGTTTGATAAGAGTTTTTCTAGCCCAGTGGTTCTCTCGCTTTGGGTTACACTGCCTTTGGGCGTCACCAATCTGATATCCTGCATATCAGATATTTATATTGTGATTCATAACCATAGCAAAATTACAGTTATGATGTAGCAATGAAGTTAGTTTGTGGTTGGGGGAGTCACTACAACATGAGGAACTATATTAAAGGGTTGTATCTTTAGGAAGGTTGACAATCACAGTTCTAGCCCATATCCACTAATTGCCAAGAACAAAAGGGTATAGAATGAATAAGCCCATATTTTTGTGTTCTTGCAATGGAAATTCTTTTTTATTGTGTATTTTATATTGGCTATCATTGGACACAAACTTCACTTTTTAAAAAATGTTCAAATATAATTTATAATTATAT